ACTGCTTTATAGAACAGTTAAGTTAAGGAGTTACTCATTCATCACCACTTCCATCCACCAAGACAACTGTGTGTTACAAGCAACCTTACTGACCTGTAACAGGAGTGAAAACCTGCTGCTGGTTAGGTGCACCTCCATACCCCTGTTGGTGTTGGGGTAGTGCACCATTATACTGGTGCTGACCTTGCAATGGCGGGTAGCCTGGTTGTTGCTGAGGAGGGCCATACCCTGGTTGCTCTTGAGGTGGTGTGTAACCTCCTTGTTGAGGAGGTCCATAACTTCCTTGTTGTTGGGGTGATCCATAACCTGGCTGTTGCTGAGTTGGGTAACCTTGGTGAGGAGGACCATATCCTTGTGAAGGCACTCCTTGTGCAGGAGCTTTAGATCCATAACCTGGTTGCTGTGTACCTGTAAATAAGAAATTAGCAAAAACTATCAGCTATTATATAGATGGGTTTGAAAGAAGGTCTTCAGTAAAAGTGTTCTGATTTCTTGACAAATTCTCCCAACTAAATATACCTGTCATGTGATTGGCTATATTTTACTACCTACCAATTTTATTGTAATAGTGACTGGCCAAATAGCCAAGTACTGTCCCATCATAAAGTAAAAACACAAGCTTGTCATTCTGTTCACTTTTGAATTGCTAGTACTGGTATATATTCTTGAATGTCTACAACTGCTGACCAATGTTGCATTAGAAAATTGCCTTTAGCCCTTAAACTCCAAGAAGTGATTAACATATAACTTCTTCCTATATATTATCCATACATTATTTAGAAAACAGGTAATGAGAATATTAAAAGTTATTGGATAGAAGTTGTTATTTAAGTCTAATATCAAATTCTTATGACTGATTTACGAAGAAATATTTAGCAGCTAGAAGAGAGAATGGACAGTCAGATCTTGGGAAATACAGGGTTAATTAATGGTCAATAAGGTAGTTTCATAACAAATTCTAACTACATTTCTGTCTTTGTTTCAAATCTTTATTTAAACAAGGTATAAAAAAGGGTAATTTAGTATTATCACCTGCATTGATGGTGTAAATTGGCCATTGTAAAAAAGAAAAGAAGCAGATGTTTCGAGCATTAGCTCTTTGCCATTCACACTGACAAAGGGCTAACATTTGAAATATCAGCTTTGAAACTCTTCACAGTGGCTAACCCTAGTTTAGGTTACTAGATATAGTTACTAAATTACCCTGTTATACTCTCCCACCAACACAGCATCACAGTTTCCTTAGAAACTTACCCCCTTTATAAATGAAAAAAGGATAATAGGTCAGCCTAATATTTATTGCATGCTGTACCTGGATGCATTGATTGCACTTGGTAACCTCCTCCTGCTGGGGGGTATGATGATTGGCTTATCCTTCCTCACTGATCCACAGAAAACAGTTAATGGTAATCAGAGAGTTTAATGGACCACTTGAATTGCAAAAATGTATTAAGTTCACATAATGTTATTTTACGGTTAAGAATATATGAAAGTCAGTTGGCTTGTTAGCTCAGTTGGTAGAGCGCTGCACCGGTATCGCAGAGGTCATGGGTTCAAATCCCGTACAGGCCTGAAATTTTTTCAGGCCTTATTTTCACTACTGCCTAAGTAGTGCACATCACTGCGAGGATCACTTTCATTCATGTCTTTATCCGCAGTTCAAATATATGACTTTCATATATTCTTAACCGCATATTCATCACTTCACGGGTTTATTTAGAACCACTATCATGACCAGCTCCCAGTTGGCTTGTTAGCTCAGTTGGTAGAGCGCTGCACCGGTATCGCAGAGGTCATGGGTTCAAATCCCGTACAGGCCTGAAATTTTTTTCAGGCCTTATTTTCACTACTTCCTAAGTAGTGCACATCACTGCGAGGATCACTTTCATTCATGTTCAAATGTTATTTTAATCACTCAATGTTGCTTTTTTTTTAACTTTTCTCTCTATGTGTGATTGAAAGTAATTTCTGTACAACATTGCTGAGATTTCAAAGAGAAATGTTAACAAAAAAAAATACAAAATTTCAACTGCAACAGGAAATTCTTAAAACTAAAAATTTTGGAAAATAGTAGGGAGAATTAGTACATAAATCTTGAGAATTTACAAATTAAGACAAATACACATGTTAGAATAATGAGACTGTTATATTCCTGAACCAGGTAGAAGAAATCTGATAATTATTGTCACAATTATAGTGTTTGTGTTCCATTTGAGGGTTAAATGTTGCTTACATGAACCTTTCCTATCAATAGTTTTCCTAAAAGTACTCTCAAATTACATTTTCAGGCTTCTACTGGCTGCTTAATTAAAGCCTACATAAATATATTTTTCGCCCGATACCTTGCTGTTACTCCAAATGACTCACAATTCTGGTGACACTTACTTTTAAAACTTAATTTCTAAGCAACAAAGTAACGATGTTGGAGTTGCTCTTTTCAACACAAAAAGTAACACTTAGAACACTTGATCCAGCTCACATTAATCGATTTCGACGCAATTTTCTTTGTAAAGAAAGATGCATGGGTGGCGAAATTTAATGTTTCTTTAAACTTTGAACGATTTCTTAAAGAATACGTAACTTCAAGCCGGGAAAATGTTTCATATAGCGGCAAACAAGACTCGACCCGTCATCATCGTATGAATCGAAATCCATTGGGAAATCAACTCCAGATGCACCTGTAGCGGCATATTTAATTGTTCACGACCAGAATCGAAGAAAGTTGCGCAACGCAAGTAGTGGGGAGATGATCAAGTGCAAAAAAAACTAAAACAGGTGGCTGCAAATACATTTCAGAACGCCAACAGATCGACTTCGATCAATTTCAAGAGGAAATACATCGTAAGGTTTTCAATCGTGAAAGAGTTACTCTCTGTCACTACGAATGCATTCAACTTTACATAAAAGCATATATATTTGGGAACATGGGCCACATTACCTGTATTAGCTTGCCTCTCTTTAAACTTGAGTCAAACTTGGCCTCAAGGAGGTCCTGACCCTGTTGATTTCTTATTGAGGGCAGGAGCATCCCGCGGCAAATCTTGGGACGAGTATTATGACAAGAAAATTAGATAGGTCCGCAATACACATGTTGTTTATTTAGGTGATACGTAACTGCGAGACAAAAACTCGTTAGTCGACCAGGCGAATTGTCGCCTTGTAAACAAATTGGATATAATATAATGACATATATAAACTAATATATCATTATTATATATAAATAATAATATTATTTATCATTATATGTGACGATAAACTGCGTTCCTGGTCAAAATTCAGCTCGTTTTAAACTGCATGAAATTTACAACGATGTTTGCGTCAAGATTCTGATTTATCAAGTATTTCTTTTAAGGGTGAAATGTCTGCGCAAGAGAAGCAAGTTCTTCTTTTCGTCATTTGAGGATAGAATTTTTTTTTTTTTTTTTAACTGTGCTCTTACTTTCCTCGATTTGGATAAATCTTGTGATTGCGACGTGTATTTCCTGACCGTCATGATTGAACTAGAAGTTATGTGGATGTCCCTCATTTCGACACTCATTTTCATGAACGATGGATGGTTTATAGAGATGGTTCAGGCTGACGTCACTGTCGATGAAATTTCTTGCCAGCAAAATTTGTTTCCCCGACTTTTTTCGCGTAAGACTTAATTTCGCCATTGTTATGGCTAACAACAACCCAACATTTGAGTTAGAGTTTCTCGATGACTTTGAAGATTTAGAGAAGGTTGTAGAAACATCGGAAGCGTCTTAAGATCAACAAAGCAAAGTACTGCCAGTGAAAATAACGGCTTTGCAAATTTATCCAAGCGGGATTTGGAAAAAATACTTGAAGACAAACAGTCAATCATTTCCAGCCGTACTCAAGGGTCCACGGCATTAATTTCGGTTCAGCAATCAAACCAAGCCGCTGTTGAGTCTGCTTCAGTCGTAGAAAACTAACATTTAAGGCCAATGTCGTGTAGGAGGGGGGAGGGGAAGGTTAAGGTAGAAGAAATGAAAAAAAGTATACTGTTCTCATAATTTCTGAAACGCTGACAAGGATAATTTGTTTGATAATAAGTCGCTTCTTTAGTTGGTGATCATTTCCCTTATTCTTGTGACATTAATGTGTGATTCAGGGCTGATATTGTAGGGAGAAATTAGATGCTAATCACTCTTAGGGCACAAAGGATCAATGGGGAGGTCAACTATCGCGCGGAATTCCGCTCCTGCTCGTTTTTGACTCCTTATGAGCCGTTCCGCACTTCAAACTCCCCCCCCTGAAAAAAGCTCTCAATCGATTAGAAGTAGGGGGGGATAACCAATACCAGTTATCTTGTTCATAAAATAAATCGAGCATTTGCAGTGCCACCACTCCCGCATCTCCTTCATTTTAACAATGGTGAATTGTCGCGTTTTGCCATTCGAGCGATCTCATTATTATTTGTGTTTCTGCTCAAAGGAGAACTGAAACCAAAAATTGAGTTAAATTCTTCCAACAGCCAAAGTGACGAAATTCTCGATTTCAGGCCTCTGCGGAGGGGGAGGGAATTAGGGAGCGCTAGGTGAACCTCAGGTGAGGGGATGGCCGTGGCCGCTGAAACAGTGCCCGTGTTTAGGAGGAAATTCTTTCAGTTTGCTATGCCTATAGTATAAGACCCCCCTTTTCCCTCTCCATAGGACTCTTTATGCGTGAAGAATGAAATCGTTGTATCATAATATCTTAAAGACGCGCATTTGTCCCAAACATAATGCCTCAGATTGTTGAGATCACAAATAGAAAACGAATGACCTATTATGGGTTTTCTTGCCCTTTTGGAAAAACAATAATGGCAAGGAGCCAAAGATTAATGCCAGAGAGTTGTCGAAAGATAAACCGTGAGAAGACCTTTATCGTATGGTTAGCAACTGCGCCGTTGGTTCCTTAGGTTATTTCCCAAGCGGTTCATTTTCGAAAACCTGCATGCATCAGAAACTGTAATTACACTGTTTTTTATCTTCACATGAAACTTTGTCCATGGACTACTGATGGTGCTTTATTGAATTCTCATCGAAAAATTAACAAGATCAACATAGTTGAGCGCGTCTTGAATTTCCTTAGTTACGGATATTGATCAAATGAACTGTTTTACACAAGCTACATGCAATGACTGCAAAATATATTCCTAAAATACCATATGTTCCCTAACGACTCTTAAATACCTCTAAAGATTGGTCAAAATGAAAATAATTTATAAATACCTTACTGCATAGTGCAGATTTTAAACTGTCAACAACTTTGACAGCTAAATTCTGAAAGTAAAAGTATCTTGTGTTTTGACAACTGATTATGCAATCAAAGCCGATTTCAGGTAATTTCCCCCGTCTAATATTTTTTTTCTTTTTTTTTTTTGTCGTGCATGAATAATTCAAATAAATTGAGTGATATCGCCGATCAGTAAAATAACTTAACATTAACGATTGTACGACTGCTAGCAATGTTCTAAATCACGGAGAAACATCCGTTGGAGCAGACATTCAACCTTTCTTTCAAGAGACGCCACTTATTTCGGCAGCTTTTCCGAATTTAAAAGTGGGCTTCAGATACTAGTGTGAAACTTAAAATGGTTTAAAACGCCATGTTTTTCACAAACCTAAAACGTAATGTACTCGATACACCATTATATGGGAATTATTGTTCAGTCCAGTTCCATCTTTTCAACTTCATCACTCGAATGTCGTTATATAACAAGCTAAAAATATAGTAAAATAAACTCTTTCTATCAAATATTTCTATTTGATCAACCGGAAAGTACTGAACGAAACAAACGAGTAAAAGTTACTTCACCTTCATGTTCACTCTTTTACTTTAATAAATGCTTACGTGGAAGTTTACTGAACGATCAACCATCCAGACTGCCACAAAATGCAGCGCAAAAACTGAACAGTATTTGCTTCTTTCCTCTGCTGCTAGCGATCAGGTATTTTTCTAAATCCTTCCATTTACAAATTCTGCAGATTACTATTCTTTTCAAAATTGTCTGTCCCCCTTCTCGATTTTTAAGGGCTCACAGGAGTTAAATCACCATTAAAGTGTTTCTCCATTCCTGACTTAAACGCGGCGTGGATTTCCTTCTTCTGTTTACGTTACAGTCGTCCAGGAACAAACAGTTTCGAGAATCCCTCGTATTTGCACTGAGAGAAAGCTTACGCCGACACTTCTGCAAAATCACTTTAGCAGGGGCGAGCTTGACACTGCCAGCTGAATTAGCAAGCTCAATATCCATGTCTTGCGTGGAAGCTTCCTGATTTCCCATCCACGCTGTCGGATCGACCACCAGCGCGATTGCTTTCGCGTGGAGAATCTGCGAAAGCCATTCGTTTCTTTCGTGCTCTGAGAAGCAACACAGATGAAATGTCCGAGTTGCGATTTTGCCGGCCGAAACTGATCGCTTTACAAGCTTTAAGCAGTACTTTGTCTGCTTTTCAGGCAGCTCGTCTATATAAAGAGACATGTCGTTGAAAAATATCACCTCTTTAGGTACGTCTTCTACCGATTGCTTTTCGGTTTTGTAGTAGCAGAGACATTCTTTACTAAGGACAAAATACCGAAGATTCCATTGCTTTAGAAGGTCGCTTTGCTTCAGCAGGTAACCGTGTTTTAAAATCCTTTCGTTGTTATTTGCATCTAAGCTTTTCATTCTCAGTGGAGCTGTATTGTACAAGTGTCAGAATCTTGTCCAATCTGTAAGCGCAACGAGAGCTGAGCCAGTGCAAGACTTGCAATGTTAAGGTCTTAATGGTTCCGTGCAAAATTGTAAGACGAGTTATGAGGAATGTGAACGCAGTGCAAATACCTATCCTGGCGCCACTGCGTGCCTTGCACGGCCTCGATTGGTAAAAGAAGGTCAGGAACAGCCCTCGGCGGGACACAATAATATGAGTCGACTCCCTCACGACACCTCCTTTAGAGCCTTACTGAAGCTCTGGAGCGTCCCGTCTTCCTGAAACGGAGCGAAAGGTCAAAAAAATACGCCGCTGTTATCATTTCAAGGATCGGATGTCCTCTAACAATTGTGAGATTAAGTTTCCCTTCGCTTAATGCCTGGCTGAGTGGTCTCACCTGTAGATAACAATAATGCGCTTTGTTTTGGGAGAAAAGGTTTTGCTATTGAAATAGTAACGCGCTTGGCATGCGCATTGTCAGCACCTTGTTCGTAAACATGTTTTCGTGTGTGTTTAGTTAAGTGGAGATAAACAGCAATTTCTACTTCTCTGTAAAGTGCAATGAACCCCCGCGTTTACGAACTTTGCTTTGCTAATGATTTTACACGAGTGTGAACGCCTTGTGTCAGAAGAACTGATCATTTTGATGGGGAGTTTGCGTTTCATTTGTTTTGTTTGTTTGGTCCCAGTGAGCAAGTATGTGAAGTTGGAGGAAAACAGTGAAAATATCTGTATCGAGCGAACCCCATGTCATATTAACCTAATAAACATAAAACCCTATTTTGTCTTTCTCCCTTTGAATTACCGTCACCGTTTCAGTGCGCAGCCTTATGAGGTGGACGAGGACATTGAAACTGAGCTTTTTTTTGACTCGCGACCTAAGTGAAAGGACACTCTAAGGGATTTTACGACTGAAAACTGCTAAATGAATCCTTCCTGCTGTACAATTCAAATTATTATCCAATTATACACAATGTCATTATACCTTGATGTGCCGAATCGGCAAGTCAAACGACAACCTACACTAAGCAAAACGCGCCAATTATTCTACCAAAAACATTTGCAAAAAGCTTGTCTTTTGATAATTCGCTGGAACAAGTTTTAAACACGAAGAAAGATACATGAAATTCGATGAATAAAAGTTATTGCAATGATAAGTACAGTTGACCCTGAAACGCTCTCAAAAGGTGCTTATCATTTCGCAGTTTGCGTGAGCCTGTAGAGTAATTTCATTCACCAGATCTGATTATAAATTCTCCCCACTCTCTACCACATATTTTTTACCGTTTTAACCTATAGAATTTGTTGTTAAATCAGGCAATATCTCCAAATTGACATTTCTCTTTCTTCACATAACATCTCTGCCGGAATGTGTATGGCTAATAGAAGAAGAAAATCTTTGCTGCTCACCCTTGAGAGTGCAATGGTTTTAAAACCCTGCACAAGGTGGACACTACCACGGTTCCCCCGAGTGTTCTCGTTGGACAGGTTTCACAGGACGTGACGTAGGTGGCAAGGGGGACTCTTTTTCCTTCAACCTTTCTCTTTCTGAAGTTAAAGTGCGTTCAAACACACGAAAGAATTGAACAGCTTTTTTTTACGTCCAAATGCATGTTGAAGCACGCAGTGAAAATATGTGTGATACATGTAATTAACTTTTGCTTATTTTTTGACCTTAAAAATAATTCCCCATATCACATAGCCCTGCAGGCTTTTGATAATCAGCCAAAAGTCCAAGCACGTACTTCTAAGTTGACAAACAAGTGATAACTATTAAATTCAGATTTACTCTCCTGGTGAAACCTGAATGTCAAAGATCTAGCCGTCGTTTCGCTCACACCCCGCTCACGAAAGAGAAAACGTTTTGGACTTCGACCGAGTTCAAGCCGGAGATTACAAGTTTTTTTTTTTAATTCCCCCTGAAAACCCCGGCCAGAAAGGTAGATGCTGTCAGAACGAGGGTTTTACCCCTCAAGTACCCTTTGTGCTAATCAAATTTACCATATCGAGTAAGCTCTTTATCGCGTCTGATCAGGAAAAATTGTTTCCGCTTTACGCTGACGTTGAGATTATAGAAAGTGTAGCATTTCTGTCGAAGAAGTAGATCTTAAGCGAAACTGACCGTCTTTAGACTGTTTTTTTTCGGAAAATAACGTTTCCGAACTGAACAAAAAACTTAGCGAAGCGACTCAGACTTAATCATCTCATAGGTAAAGCCTTTTAAAATGTAGTTATCCCTTTAAATCCCATAAGCGACCAAGACATAATTTTTTCCTTACTAAATCAATACGATATAAATCAGACAAGTGATGAGAATAAAGAAAAATGTCGGTTAGGGGATTGTTAGTTGATTCAATACCAAATTCTTAGAACTAACTTTATAAGAATTGTATGGCAGACAGTAAGGAGAATTACCAATGAGATCTTGGAAGTGAAAAGGTTAGCGTCCTTATTAGCTCCAAAGAAACGCTCTGAATAGCAATTTGATTAGAGGAGACCAAAATAATAAAACGGAAAAGCATTTAGGGTTGGTTATTTACACGAGGTCTAACCGAAACCATGGTTTTTGCGCAATCAATGGGCCTTTGGTTCTCCTACAAGTGGATCGATTAGATTCCAAAAAATACTTTTCCCACTGTCAGCTTTTGGCCGTCTTGACACTTTTCACAAAAATAAATATTCAGTTACAAGGGTTCGGCAAAATTGAAGGTAGTTTATAATGCAGTTTATGAACAAGAATTAGCTTTGTTTGAATAAACAGACCTAAGAGTTGTGAACAAAGTTTTAAAAGTCTGTTTCTACACTACGCAACTTCTGGGAAAAGTGGATTCATGACGTCACCATCTAAACTTGGATCCAGGTTTGACCGAGCTAAGGTCCGCATGATGCCTGTGCAAGTACAAATGATTGAGTCACTTGCACGTTAACCAGCCGTCACAATGAGATTTTCTCAGAACTCACAATTTTTGTTTGCTGAAAACAGGAAAAAAAAAGACTGATTACATCTGCTTGACCGCAAAATGTGATGGAATCTGGAGTCGTCATTTCCGTTTTGCGACATAGCGGTTGTGTCAGTGGTCAGTATTTCATTCCAAGGTTACTCATTCAGTGCGCTGAAATTTTTTGCGATCCTGAAACAAAAAAAAGATTAGAGGGTTAAAATTAAATTTAAAGATGTAGCTGTTGGAAAATTCTGTAGTGAGCAGCCCCGTAGAGCGTCAATGACTCAATATGTCTTCAGATGTTACAGAACTTTTTGAATCCAGAGCCTGTATCTTGCCTGGGGGCCTTATGGTAACCGGAATTATCATTCTACTAATACGCAATTTTACCTTATTTAGGCAACAGAACGTGTAAAATATGCCACGGTATTACGCTGTAGAACAAGGAAACTATACAGACGGAAAACGGAGCCACAAATTGGCCTTACTGAATGATCCAAACTTAAGTTCGTCTCTTAGGCTTGACTTTAACAGATTAGTCTTTTAAAAACATCAGGGGTTTTTTGTTGGTCAGAGGAATATACTAATAATTTCGTTGTGGTTGTTTTCGTCTTTCGCGCACGCCAAAGTTCAGATCGGTACGAAGCTCAGATAGACAATAGGAAGTCTTTCGAAATTTAGATGTCAAAACGCTCGAGAATGAAACAATAGAGGAATAATAAATCCCTTTATTAAATGCTTAGCCGAGGCTGTCTTAACTGCTGACTATGAGCAACTTAAAGAATTAAGCTTTAAAGTTTTCAAACTCCTTATTACATTTGCAACCTTACCTTACACCTCCAGGTTCGATTTTGCTCTATGCGCACTGATGAGGTGACTTAAACTTTTCACCCCAGCAACAGTCATTATGATAAATTTTAATACAGTTATCTACTTATGATTCAACGGATCATGACGCAACACCGTTCGTCTTTCTTAAGAATCACCGTTATAATATTGCCAATCATACATATCTCTCGGTATTAACAATTAGTTCAGACTGATCCGATTCTTTGTCTACCTCCTTCCTATGTAATTCAATGCTTAAAAAAAATCGCAAATCCTTTGAACTTATAACTGATTGCAAAACATTTTGACATCCTAATAGCTGGCAAATATAAACAATTACATGCAACAGCGCTGGCTGTCCCAAAAATATTGGTTTTTACAGCTGGAGGACTGAGTCCAGCTGAAACAAGTTTCGTAAATTTTATGCAAGAAATTGTTATCATGTATATATATTTAAAATATAAATAAATGAGTAGAGAGAAAAGATCTGTTTCATTCCATCGTTGGAATGATACTGAACAAGCCTTCTATTCAGAAAAATTCAAAAAGATTCCGCGAAGCAAGAGATTTAAAAATTTGTCCTTGGCTGATAGGATCAAATCGGAAATGAAAACACTTCTGAGAAATGGTGGCTAACAAATTCAAACAACAAGGGACAATTCTGTTCAAGAAATCTTGAGCAGCCACAACGTATGCATCCTGTTTTGTGAAATCTTCCAAAATGTCCTTTACTCAGGTGGTTTTCAGCGAAGAAAATGAAAATATAAATTCAAAAACATATATATCAGTTCGATGGTATACCATGCACGTGCGTCAAATCACGGCCGATTTCGGACCTTTGTTTCTCCCCTTGCTAAATCAAATTTTCCTCTTGCGAATTTCCAGATTAACTTCCAAGTCTCAGTCTACATTTTACTGAGGGCCTCCTAAATAAACATCCCAGCTATGTTGGCAGAACACGAATAAACCGCGTTTTCACATATTTGGACATTTGTCAACACGGGGTCAGTTTTGATATACTAAAGCAGATTTTTAGACTTTCTTTAGAATCATTGTCTGTCAGATCGGGAAATAACCGAAATCGAATACTTTCGAAATAAAAATATTTTTTTTAGGGAGCCAATTTAAAAAGGGGAAAATTGTCGATTGCAAGACACCCAGGAGACCTTAGAAAACTACGGCTGCATAGGCAGGGGAAAAGAATTGTTCCCAGGATCAGAAAAATAGCCCCTCCTGTGTTTTATCTCTGAATTTTATTAGATTTCCGCAGAACTACGTCATACTATCACAAAGTTTTCTGTCTAATAATTTTCATTGAAGAACGGTTATTAATGACATGACCCTTATTTGAATACAGCAATTTGGACCCAACCTGTTGTTACACATTAAGTCAAAAATGGTTCTGAAACTGAAAGAAACTTAGCACTAGAGATCGAAATTGTTGCGAGATTCTGAAGACTGAAACTGAAATTTATGGCTCAACGCGCCTCGCCGTTTTCGTTGCGACATAGTGTAAGGATCGCGTGCTGTTTTCATCTCGTGTTTGCGTGATCTCCGAAATTGTAGTCTGAGGTTTTGGCTGACCAAAGACAAGGGTAAATTTAGGAAAGTACTTCGAACCAAACCTAAGGAAATTTTTCCATCAGTATCGAAATAAAAAGGAAAAGCTACTTACATAAGCAATACCGGTTCTTCTGAGAAAGCATATTCTATTTTCGTCCGTATTGCCTCATATCATATCAATTTCCATGGGTCGCATGACATGCTTCTGTGCACACAGATAACATCTATAAACTGTCGACGGCAGGGGGGAAAAGATTGCGTTGCTATTTTTAAAAAGTAGTGAATTTTTTCAATCAAAGCACTCTTATTTCGGACAGTTGATATCCTATGGAACAGCCAGTCATCTCTCGGTAGGCAAAGAGCATACGCTCATCACATGGTGTCACATGACCGGTTTTCCGTTGTTGACCTTGCCTGACGTCTATATAAATTCTTGGAGACGGTATTCTCGCATTTGAGGTTCGAGGAATTACGAAGTTCCCGTCTGATTCCTGAAAGATTGCCGCTTCTGAAGTTTGTGTAAAGTACAGAAACAGAGTTTATGTTTGAAAAACAGACCTGTACACATAGCGACGGAAATTGATTGCCTGGAAACCCGGGAGAGCTTCGAAAGAAATGAAAGGTGCATACACACAGCCGTTAAAACAAGGTTACCTTCTAAAGCAAAGCGAAATTCTGAAACAATGGCATCTCCGTTATTTCGTCCTGAGCAAAGAGTGCCTATGTTACTATAGAACTGAAGCGGAATCATTGCAAGAGGCACCCAAGGAGGTTATATTCTTCAATGACATGTCTCTGTATATAGACGAACAGGCAGATAAACATACAAAGTACTGCTTACGGCTTGTAAAGCGATCTGTATCTGCCGGCAAGATTGCGAATCGGACATTTTTTCTGTCTTGTTTCTCGCAAGATGAAAGGAACGAGTGGTTGTCTCAAATTCTTTTAGCGAAAGCAATGGCGTTAGTCGCTGATCCAACCGCGCTGATAGGAAAACGTGAAACCTCAACAGAGCATATGGACTTTGAGCTCACTACTTCCGGAAAATATGTCCGGCTTCCCGCCACAAAGGAACTGTTACTGAAATGTCGACAGAAACTTATGCTCGTAAGCGGTTCAAGGAATTCCTTGGGTCGTATATTCCCTGAAAACTTAGACAATTCAGAACTAAAGTCTTTTACTTTGAACCTTCAACACTGGAGGACCTCATTAATGATGATACGATCGTAGCTTATTGCTGCTTATTGCTCACGCTTGAAAATTGTAAGCGCAGTGCACATCTTTTTGACTGTAAATCTGAGCATGAGAAAACCGCAAGGCAAGCACTGAAATGCGAAAAATTATCTTGTGGTTAAAAAACCATGTTTTATTTATAACTCCCGATAAAGAAAAAGCATAGTTTAAGCATTTATTGAACAGTTTTGTGCAGTTTATTCAAGCTAGAGTGAAGCGAGAAGTTTGTTTTCTTTATGTATTTTATTTATTTCTAAGACTTAAGTGTGGATTAGTATAGACGCTTAATTTATACATCTTTATATCTATTTTAAAGCTATAGAAATTGCTATTAAAGCTGCTAGTGGTGCTAATAATTAAAGAAAAAATATGAAAAACCTTTTACCATTTTTTATTGAGGAATTTATCAATAATACTTTAGCGAAGAACGCTGTAAAAAGTGATTTCACCATAATTTCAGCTGACTACAACACTAGAAAAGCTATTTAATCTTGTAAAAATTCAAACCACTTTAACTCCTGTTCTTCATGAGGCTTAGCTACGGAGGGAACACATTTATCTAGCGCTTGGGTTGATGATTTAGCAACAGCTGATTCTTGAAATTCCCCACGGACTAGAGCTGCAATTAAGCTTTCACTTCTAGGATCAAGGAGCTTATTCCTTGTAATCACGACCGCAAATTTCTAATGCTCTTATTTACATGAGTTACGTCAGCATATATTGAGTCAATGTGTGATGTAATGATTCAATAGTCCAACAAAAACTTGACCAGTATTTCCCTTTAAATTTCTTGCATTCAGGGAGATTCGAGGAAAATGAAATGAAAACAATCCAATTAAGATAAAAGCAAGGTAGAGAAGAACTTTATTCTACAACTCCCAAGATCTGATTGTAAATTCTCCCCACTTACCGTTACAAATTTCCTTTAAATCAATCATGAGAATTTGGTGTTAGATCAAGATAACAACTTCTACATGATCATCTTGATTATTCTCATTGGCTGTTTGCTAAATAATGTATGGATATTATGGGGAGAAGTTACCTGTCAATCACTTCTGGGAGTTGAAGGGTGAAGCGTTGTAAATCGAAACTATCAACTAAGGTGACGAGAATTCTTTATGACGGTGAAGAATTAGCGCGGGTCATATTATCGATCTTAAAACCTCTTTTTCCAGATTATCATGATCCAAAAATAGCGATTTAGCTTCTGTCCAAGATATGAAGTTTATAAGGTCATTGATGCTATCAGTTCACTAAGTTGACACTGACTCGCCCCAAGTCGCACCCTTTTTGACCGCGGAAAGTGCGTGGGAGATAGGGACGAGTCAAAGAAGCACCAACGATGAGAAGGCCAGTCTGCAGGCAGGGCTTGATGATTAGTACTGGGACAGGAATAGCAAGGCCCACGAGTTTCTCCCCTCGAGCGAAAAGGGCGTGCAAGGTGTGTGTGAGGGATCTGGCACGAACAATGAGAGCCTGAACCCTTGCTTATCTCTTCTTGCAGACCTCTCGAAGACTCGAAACCCGCAGGCTTTGTCGCTTTTGTGGCAGCACTGGTTCAGCCAATTAACTACTCATTCAGTTGTGGGAAGGTAGAGCTATCTTCTTCCAAACCGTCTGAAGCCGAATGTAAAGAACGTTTTCCCTCCTATCTTTTCCTTCTTTCCCCTCTCCTTGGAGAGTTGGAATGTTTACAAATCTCTACGTTGTAGAGGTTTGAACAGTGTTTGTTTCTGTAGTTTTGTAATGAACACCAACTTTGTTGCGACGGCATCTTTTCAACAGCGCTGCTATATGGCGGCGGAATCGATGGCTCTGCAAGCTGTAAATCACAGGGTTGACAGCGGAGTTGAAAGAAACCATCAGCACCGATGCAGTGTGTACCTCCCCGAACAACTGCTTAGCCGAGAAGGCCACGTAGATGTAAGCAAAACAGTTTGGAAACCAACAGATACAATAGATCAAACTCACTGTGATCACCATCTTGGTGGAGTGACGTCTATTTTTGAGCACTGCTTGTTGAGACACAGACGTGGTTGCAGCTGTGTTTCTGAACCAGAGTTGATAAATTAGGAGAGCGTAGAGCACCCCCATAATCAGTGCAGGGAAGACAAAGAATATCTGGCCGTTAATGACGCTGTGGTATTTCATAAAGTTTGGTGTTGGCCAGAAAGGGACACAGCTTCTAGAGTTCTCGTCGTACTTGAGGTACATAAACGGCGGTAGGTTGACCCCGATAGCAAATATCCAGCAAAGTGGAATGACGAATCTAAGCTTTTTAGTTGTCAGCCTCTTTGTCTCACTATAGGGGAAGTTGATGGCGAGATATCGCTCCACTGCGATGCAGACGAGAGTGAAGTCTGAAGCCAGTGCACCTGTCCAGGTGAAAGAATCTCCGGTAAGGATCTTACACAGGTAATCGCCAAGAGTCCCCCTAGGGTGATTCATCGTCCGGCTGAAGACGAACCTCGGAGACATAAAGACTGCAACCATCATATCACTGACGGCAAGATTTACCAGAAGATAATTCATTGGAATGCGCATGTCTCGAAATGCCAGAACCGCCAGGCAGACGAGAATGTTGCCGAATAGGTTAATGAGCATTGAAAACGTGAAAGCAATGATGAAACCGTCCTTTGAAAAGCTATCCTGGGCCATTTTCTAAACAAAGAAGGGAAAAAAGTTCATAAAGGTCATCGTTAAACTGAAAATACATATTACTGTTATAAGTTTTGATTTGAATCTTAGGCATCATGCGAGTAGATGGTAAACGATTGGCCATCCTGACTTGAGAAATAGTTCGCTGACCATGATCATGACAAGTCTAATTGGCCACAAAAAAAATGTGCTGAGGTCACATCCAGTCACTTAAGAACGTCAAGCGTGGGTGTTTATTTTCAGAGGTTCTTTTCCGATTTGATTGGGCCTTTTGCGAACCATATGGAACTACGAAAACAAATTTCTGTTATTTTGCAGAGTACGACCCATAAAACGTAAAATGTTTCGTAGAGCACTGATAATGTTCTTTCTAGTAGCCATTGTCAGATATATAGTCGTGGCTTGTCCAGGAACTGAGAAACAGTTTTAAAAAAACTGAAGAGATTAAGTGTGTGTTATTTTTCATAATGACGACCGAAAAATGTAAAATGTTTCCCAGAACACTCATAACGCTCTTTCTAGTTGCCATTGTCAGATACACAGCTTCAATTTGCTTAAGAACCCAGAAACAAAAACAAATAAAAAAAAAAGGGAAAGTGGACGACCACACCTTACGAAAAAATTATTTCAGAAGAAATGCCTCGCAAGTAGTTGCATTGAGTGTTTTCCAATCACAGAATTACTTTCAGATAAAATCAGCTCTGGATGAGACTTTGCTTAATCAAGCAGGAAAAGAAAATGCGACACTATCCTATCGCAAGCCGTTCCCTTCTGTCTGGGCGCCGTCGGACATTTTTTGGTCATTTCATATGTTGTAATGCGTTTTCACGGTTACGGGTGGCGAGTAAAATTTACAAAATGGATAACTTTTGAATAGCCAACCATTTGAAACGATACAAGCTAATTTCATTAATTGGCTTTTTTCTTAGGATGTTCAGAGTGACATCAAATAGTATTTCATTTGGGTAAACGAAAATGTTGAATAAAATCTTTTATCTTACCGGCTAAAGATTCGCTACACGTTTCAACTAGCTTTTTGTGTTTTTTTCAGAGAACTTCCACGGATGCGGGGCTTAAACTTCTTAATGTCTTGAACCGTTGGGTGAAGTGAGATACTCATTTGCGATTTCAAGCAGATATATGTATTACTGGTGCTCTGTGTACAGTATAAGTGCAAATATGCGTCATAAGTATTTAATCAAGTCCTCGATAATCAAGAAAAAACTGTACGCAAGAAATTGTGTTTTTTTACTAAGTATAATATTGACCTAGTTTTTTGACAAGTAAATTGAAACACCCGCACAAGCTTATTTGAGCACGAACACGCTGGAGGAAAAAAGCTGAGATTTTGAAGAACGCCCTAAAAATCGGCGCTAAAAATTCTTTTCATCGAGGCTTTTTCTTTGAATATCTTGTGATACAGATTGTAATTTATCCCGTAATAACGAACTGTAGTTCAAATTTAAAAAACAACAAACAAACGCAATTCTTTCTCCAAATATTGTTGTGACAGGTATCTGATGTTATCCTTTTCCTTTTTTTTTTTTTTTTGGTTGTATAAATATATCCTGACCGTATATATCAGCTGATTAAACAAAATGATTCCTTTCCTTTATGAGGAGTAAGTTAATCTATTTGCTCACAAACGGGCTGAAACGAAAAGGTTGAAACCTTGAAGAAACCTTGAAGTTTTCTTTTCAGCATCTTTGCATGCAGATTAAAAATTTATCAGGTCACAGAGACTAAATTAAAAAAATGTCACTCTTTTTTTTCACTTTTTAGTGTATATAACGTAATTCAATTCCTTATTTCTTTCCTTGTAGTAGTAATAACACGAAAACTAAACTTAAAGGTAAAATTTCTTTTCTGGCAGTATAAATGTAGAGCAAAGTGGCTTCGCGGCTCTTTAGTTTCCCAAACCTTCAAGTATAATGAGACAAAATATAACTTTTTTTTTTTACTGAGGGGTACTTTGTCAATATCTTGTTTACAGGAAAATCTGGCGATTACTTTTCTCTTGAAAGCGTCATGTTAGGAAGATATGACATGAAATTGCAAAATCTTAATTAACTAAGCCTACGTTAAAGTTACCTGGTAAATGATAAATGAAGTTAAAAAAGAAACGTGGAAAAGAAAGTCTTCTGGTGCAATTATAGAGGTCTTGTATTTACATACTAAGAGTAAATGAGGGCGTTTTCAGAGCTTGTCCCACAACTGTCTCAAGTGGTTATGAAGGAAAATGGGAGGATGGGACAGCAAGGTGAACTTCGCCTTTCATTCTGGTATCTATAGTAACGTTTAAGTCAGATGATTTACGCAACCCCGTGTTGGAAAATGTGCAAATAAATGGTTGAGTCCTAAAAAACAGTCCTTGTTTTTGAGGATGAAGCGCTTTACATGACAGCTTATCTCGCCTTAGCAGTGATTGTTCCAGCAGTTCTGCATCTGTTTAAGTTTAATGTATTTGCTGCTGATCCTGTTCAGTCACAATTGTCTTTATCGCTCAAAGAAAAAGCGCCAAAACGAGTCAGAACTGGCCGGATTTTTAAATTTTTATGTTTGTTGTACTCGTTAGGCGCTATGAACGAGTAAATAAATAAAACCTTTTAGAACATTTGAGTTGTATCTCATTGAAAAACTCAACCTAAATAATCTTGCGGCCTGACCCGTTTCCCGATGCCCCGACGAACTTCACCTCAATATCTTTCGGAATACGTAACTGAAGTGCCTTCCGCATGATTATCTTTTGACAACGCTGTCATTTGATGATCCTCACACCCATTTTTGTGCCAGGCCAAAAAATCGTTGTGGCAATAGAACAATGTATCGCGATGACGCGTACCTCTCTCTCTCTCTAAGATAAAAGAGACTGAAAGAAGTAGAGATGAACTTAGTTATGTCACAGGTTAGCAATCAGTAGCAGTCTTTTCTCTTGAATAATATGATATCTTGTTACAAGTGTTAGTTGCGCGAAGAATAGCGAGAACGACTACTATCTTCAGCTTTAACTAAATGCGACAGAACATTGCTAATTTAAAAGATCAAGAAGAGAAAAACTCAGCGGTAGACTTCATGTTCTTCTTTTTCGACGCCTTATTTACGATTTCTTGTTAGTTCAGGTTGTCAGCGTTTTACAGGCAAGCATATCAACTAAGCCTTTATTTTTTCTTAATCAGAAAATGTGAAACGGCTGGGACAAAATATATTTATGTATAATTCTTAAGGTACAATTCTTCCAATTTTGAGTTGGGAAAATGATAATTTTTCATTATTCAACCTCTCACCTAAGCTTTCGATATACTTCCTAAATATAATTGCTTCCTGGCTTACGTATACGCTACTGATTATCTTCACGCAACACTTCTTATCATATAGCTTTGGTTAAATTACCCGTCGAAACTACTATTGAGAACCGTTTCGTTTGTAGTGACAGTCAAACAAACTACTATACTCGTAATTTGAGAACCGTTATGTACTCGTTCTGTGAAGACGCCATTTTTGATATTGGCCTTTAGAAACGAGGCCAAACGTTTGTTTAACTATCATAACACCGCTTCTGTTTGATCAAGATTCTAATTCGCCTGTTTAGGGAGATATAAAGCTTGAACATTGTATGGAGGTATATCATTAGAGAAAATATACCTTATTCGCTCTTAGTTGCTGGATTAATTTTACAATAAAGGATGAGGTACAAGCATGTACTTGTGTTTTTCCATGGAAAAAATTGATCAGAATTGGATTTTGACATGCTCATCACAGTAGCTGAGCACTCTTTCACAAGCACAATCCATTCAAGGGTCCTACGCAGGGCAGCACTTCAAACTACGCAATTTTTTTTCCGGTCTAAAGCCACCTTAAATGATCAAATAAAATTAAGGAGGCTCTGAGCTTAAATCGGGGTCTTCATTCTTCTTATGGAAATACAGGAATATAAAACAGAAGATAAGAATGTTTTTATGAGGCTCTATTGTTGCGATGGTATCCTTGATATCAGAACGATCATGGTTGGGAAAGTATTAGTTATCCTATTCATGCCAATTTGAAGGGAATAGACGAAAGGCATTGGCGCTAGCTGCGGCAATTTTTTATCAACCAACTTAACCGATTAAAAAAAAAGAGGAAAAACGAATAGAAACCGCTCACATTCAGTATTAAGAGCAGTTGTCACTGCTCCTCTGATTTTTTTAAATCACGAATCTATTTCGGAACATATTAGTAAACAGTGATAGTCAAACATGTTACAGAAGAGATACTGAACTTACAGATTTTCTATTGTTTTGAATTTTTGGAAGCTCAATAAACCAACGCTTCTTGTATCGGTGCCAACCATAAAATCCAGATAAATGTTTCAACTTGGTCGTGAAAAGAATAAATTATAGTTTAAAACGTTCCAACCACAAAGTTTGAAAACAGACTTCGTCCAAGATAAGAAATCTTTCCTTGAAATATACTTATTTCCAACATTATACATATTTGCTTTATTACAATAAATCCTAAAAGAAATAAAAAAAATTCCTCACATTAAGCCCATTTTTTCGAGCAAATGTCTTTTTCAAATGGAAAATTTTTGGCAAAAATACTCGGCCAGTTTTGAGATTAATTTTAAAAAATTGAAAGGAATAGTGTGTTAGGTCTGACGGTTGCTACAGAGCGTACTGCTCAGCGGAAGGCGCTCAGGACGTAAATTAACTGATCAATCTTTTTCATTTTTTGTTCTCTGCTGTGATCCTGATTCACAGTCGATTTATTACCTCTACCTCTCTTCTCTTTGACCTCTCAAAGGCGAACTGGAGGAGATAATGAGACTACGCACTAGGGGAAATTTGCGAGGTGCAAAATCAAATGGTACAATGAAGGCGAGAAAAACATAAAATATTTTCTTAATCTTGCAAAAGGCACTTCATACTGAGTATAATGAGTCATTACAAAATTAATGAACATAAATTTGTCACATCTGATAACGAAATTCTCGCTGAGTGTGAAGCCTTCTACACAGAGCTCCATGAAAATGTGATATACCGCCTAAAAGTGAATTCTTTCAGCCAGAAAACGACATCATCCTGAACTATAGTGACGCAGAGAGTTGTGAAGGACCTTTAACAGAAAAAGAGTGCCCAGAAGCTTTGAAAATATGGATCGTGAAAAATCCCCTGGGTCTGATAAACTGCATGCCGATTTTCACCAAATTTTCCGGAAGGACTTGTCTTCAGTGCTAATAAATGTGCTTAACTTCGCATATGATCGAAGCTGGAAACCTCTCGATCACTCAGGGACGCGGAATTATTAAACTCATACTGAAAAAGACGCAGAACCGCATGCGCGCTTCATTAAAATTGGCGCCCAGTAACTATCCTAAACTATGACTACAAAATAGGAGTGAAAACCATTGCTAATCGAATAATATCTCAGATCTTATCGATTACGACAAGGCTGGCATCATAAATGGAAGATTCATTCGAGAGAATTTAATATCGTAAGCTACGCCTGAAAAAAAAAAAGCAATATCCCAGGTCTTCTGCTTTTTATTGCTCTGGAAATAGCTTGAATGGTCCTTCATTGAGCGAACGCTTCAATGCTTTGGCGTTGCCGCTCGTTTAGGAAGCGGATTCAAATATTTCCCAAAAATACCAGTTGGAAGTTATGGTCTAAACAACGGCTGGGCGAGAAACCTCTTTGAATTTTTTTTAATATAAGAGGCTTTGCGAGCAGGCCATTTTCGAATTACCTTTAGCCTCGTTTTCAAAACGAGGCCTGGTGCTCAACCACTCGTATGGAAATGAGATTAATTTGCATGTGAATGAAACCTATAATTATATGAAAGGATGAGCACCAGAACTCGCTTTGAAAACGAGGCCAAAGGTAATACGGAAATGGCCTATTGGATGAACCTATTCAGATAAACTCTTAACGATCAAACACAACACAACTTCTTCAAGAAAAGACATTCAAGTACATAAAATCCGCCGTGGGACCGCTAGACGAGAAAGTCGAAAGTAAGAAACTTGTCGTGATAGCTAAACCCCAAATAACTTCGGAAATCAAATTCAGATCTTAACTGAACGCTTAAAATATTTAAAACAAATCCCTGAACATTAACTAACTAAATACTTCTCAACACAACTTGCACTGTATATTAAATTAAATCTGATTAGGAGCGAGAAAGTGATCTTCAGATAGTGAAATTCATTTCTCTAAAACACAAATGATTTGTCAAAAAAAAAAAAGAGAGAGCTTTCATCTGTCTGAGATGGAAATATACTTTTAACGTGAAGGGTGATTGGTGATTTTTTCCTCGTAAATCGTGATTTGATTTTTTTTGAATCCGTGAATCGTGATCAATAGTGATAAGATCTTATGATATCTACGTGGGCGAATTTTTTATTTGAACGTGCATGAGCTATGAGTTGAGAGCTGAATTGAACGTGATTCGTGAACCATTTTGTTTTGCGTGATGCATTTCCGGTTATTTTATCGTTTTGGAAATGTTCGTATTTTTCTCGAACGGTTTTGGTTAGGTTTTGACAAGGGTTTTGACAAGAGATGGAAATCTTATGGATCGATAATAGTCACAAAACAGATTTCTAATGGTTCTTGAACAAATGAGATAGGACATTGCAGCATCGTTTGTCACGTTAGACTGGTTAAGATTAAAGAAAGTATTATATCAATTCTACGTGATTTTTTTTAATTTCGGGTGAACTTGAAAGCGTTTTGGATATTATTCGTGGTCCGTAAAAAGGCCAAATATTTTTACTTGACCGAGTTTAACAAGCGGGTATAGATGAAATGGTGCGCGTCAAGCTCTTCTTTCTGCATGACATTTTCATAATCTCTTTGACATGTTACGGCAATGCAAAAAAAATTTCATCGCAAACCTTGGAAAAGTCATATGTTTTAGGAATCACCTTACTTCTGTCCCATCTGTTCAATCGAAGGCTGAAGTTATGTCACCTAAGACGTTTGAACAGCGTTTGATTCTCCACCATTGTCAAGAATATAAACTTTGTTGCAATGGCATCTTTTCCACAACGCTGCCATGTGGCGACGGAATCGATGACTCTGCAAGCTGTAAATCACCGGATTGACGGCGGAGTTTAGAGAAACCATCAGAACCGATGCTGTGTGAATCACACCGAACAACTGCTTGGTTGAGTAAGCCACGTAGATGTAAACAAAACAGTTTGGAAACCAGCAAATGCAGTAGATCAAACTTACTGTAATCACCATCTTGGTGGAGTGACGTCGGTGCTTGAGTACTGCTCGTTGAGCCACAGACGAGGTCGAAGTTTTCTTTTTAAACCAGAGTTGATAAATGAGAAGAGTGTAGAGCACCCCCATTATCAGTACAGGAAAAACAAAGAATATGTGGGTGTTAATGACACTGTGGTATTTTATGAAGTTTGGCGTCGGCCAAAATGGCACACAGCTTCCAGAGTTCTTGTCGTATTTGAGATAGAAAAAAGGTGGTAGGTTGACCCCGAGGGCAAAGGTCCAGCAAAGTGGTATGACGTATTTAAGCTTCTTAGTCGTCAGCCTCTTCTTATTGCTATGAGGAAAGCGGATTGAGAGATATCGCTCAACTGCAATACAGACCAGAGTGACATCTGAAGCCAACGCTCCTGTCCAGGTGAAGGAATCCCCAGTTAAGATTTTGCAAAAGTAGTCGCCAAGAGTTCCCCCGGGGTGATTCAACATCCGGCCGAAGATGAACCTCGGGGACATAAAGAAACCAACCATCATATCACTGATTGCAAGATTTACAAGAAGGTAATTCATTGGAATGCGCATGTCTCGAAACTTCAGCACCACAAAGCAGACGAGTATGTTGCCGAATAGATTAATGAGCATCGAGATGGTGAAGGCGATGATAAAACAATTATTTAACAAGCTGTCTTCAGCCATTCCCTAGAAAAAAAAGGCACGGAGGCATTCTTTAAAATAAAAACTGTCCACTGGTAAGTTATTAAAATATTTCAAATTTGCAGAAGCTTCATGGTGGAAAATGGGAGACTGCCGCTAACTTATGAGTAAAAGGAATTTAGCCATTTTCTTTCGTCACGTTTTACTTCAGCACGTGATCGATACCTAAATAAGTTCTCTCACCTATCTCTCAGGAACATGAAGGTCTACATGATTCTTTGTTTCATAGCCTACTTATTGAATAACATCTTGCTTTTCACCCCAAAGTGCATCACATTAAGTGGTCTTTGCATGAGTGATAACATGATTTTGAGTGCAATTTGGCGTTAAAAAGACAATTTGTGTTTTTTTAAAAATTTACAAGTGCTGTGCATTGTGTGCTACTTTTTTGTTGCTACCGACGTACGGCATTTTGACGTAATCTGTGATGTATTACTGAAAAGACGCGTGTGTGTAAAAATGAGTTCATCGTCAGAAAAACGATAGTGCTTCGTTTTTATTGCATTCTCCACCATAAATTACCACATCTTATTTTACGATGAAAAATTCCCAGTCTGTTAAAGCATCTGTGTTCTTTAACTATACCACTAAGATGTGAAGGTTCTCAGTAATATAGTGCTATAGGGGTCTTTGGAACATGCTATTGTAAACTGAGTGTCTTTATAATACGCAATTTCCGCTGAAAAGCTATTCGCTGTAGTTTCCATTCGTCATAGAAAAGGTGCATCTTAAAAGCTTTCACACATAGGTAACAAAGGGTAAGTTAGTATTATCAAATGAGTTGATGACGTAAATTAGCCACCGTAAAGAGTTTAAAAGTTGACGTTTCGAGCATTAGCCCTTCGTGAGAGCGATTGGAAGAATTGTGGGTCATATGTGTGTTTTTATACAGGAAATGGAGCTACGTTATTGGTGGAAATACGGTGACGAGAAAACAAGAATAAATTAGTTGAATTAAAACCGCTCGTTGATACCGTGGAGAGTAAGACTGCCGATTTGAAGTGCAATTTTTTTTCTAGAGTTTTGCGGCTTTCCGAATTGCCTAGAGATAGGGATAGGCCCTAAACAGCCATATGGTGCTTAGAATGGTGAGGAAGATTCAAGTGTCTAGCGACTGGTTTGGATGCGTCCTTTTCATTTCTTTCTATGTCAGCGCAAAGGTGTCCTCGGAATCGGTCACCTAGTCGTCTTGCAAAAAGATAGTACTAGTCTCTGAATCTTTCTTAAAAAACTTAAAGTTTTTAAGAATGATCGGTTTAACTGCATGGTTGTGAGGGTAAAATGTGAGAGCATCATTCAGCCTCGCAACCATGCAGTTAAATCTCAAACCCTCAAAACCACATAACAAAGGCACAGACATGATTGGAGGACTTTTTATGCCTTGTGATAGAAAATATGCGTCATAGTCGGCCTTAATTCAAAGGGTTGATCAACTCAAAGGAAAAGAAATAAGCTTTTATCCTAACTAAGAGTCAAATGGCCTTGCACGCTTTTAATAAAGGCGTGAAAAAACTGATTTGACCCCGAGTTGGCTTTGCCTTTATATTAAGAAGGACCGGGCTGCGCTCGATTCATACGTACTCCAGACACGTCAGCATTATTCTCTCGGCCATTATTTGGGAATTGGCCATTGGTCATTGACCATTTATTATTGACCATATTTATCATAACAATCCCTACTCATCACGTCTAGAAATTTTCAAAGCGGTTAATTTACGGTTCAAAAATTGGATCAAAGATTCAACTACAGACACCACTAACGCATATTTGAGTCAGGAATACCTTTTGATGTATAACACTTCCATTTCTTTAGCTAAAAGTTTTTAAAAGATGGAGAGCATTTGCTTTTTCAGGATTTTTCGTTATTGTTCGGGCTTTTGATCCTTGAAGACGTTCGCCATGCACAAAAATCTTTAAAAACCCTTTTTGTAAAAGTAGACTATTTGAACCAAAGTAGAAAACTTTCATTTGGGCAAATGATAATTTTCATAATCTGATTTCTTACCTTAGCTAACGATACACCTCAAGTCAAAAAAAAAAAAAAATGGAGAGAATTTGTCGTGTCAGGATTTTTTCTGTTTTTTTTTTCTTGTTCGGGCTTTTGATTCATTAAGACGTTCGCCAGGCACGAAAATCTTTCAAAACCCTTTTTGGAAGATTAGACTTGAACCAAAGTAGGAAATTGTCAGTTGGACAAACGATAATTTTCATCGGCCGATTTCTTACCTGAGCTTACGATACACTTCCTTTTCAGCTTTCTCGGCTTACGTGAGCACTAATAGATTTCTTCTCTGAACATTGGTCATTATATAGAATTGATACCTTTACCTCTTCAAACAAAAATGATCATCCGCTAATGATAGCATGAGAATTGTGTTCGTTATGACAGCAAATATATTTAATTAAAAAGACAAAGTTGATGTCAATCGAGAACAAATTAATTTTTGCACTGAATTACTAAGCTATTCAGCGCCATGCAACTTAAGATTACCGGCGCAAAAAAAGGAATCAACCAGATATTGTCATTAAGATCTGAATGCCATTTACAAACCATTTCCCGGATATGACAATTTTACGACAAGTTGGTGAACTTGAGAATTCTGATTGTGATTCCAATCAACTTCTAAAATGTTCGCAACCTTGCTGTTTTTAGCAAAAGATTTCCCACGGTGTCATAAGCTTATCCAGGAGATTATGTCCCGCCTTTTCTTTTCTTTATAATACGCAATTTCCGCGGAATAGCTATTCGCTGTAGTTCCCATTCGTCATAGAAAAGGTCCATCTTAAAAGCTTACACATATAGGTAACATAGGTATTGTCAACTGAGTTGATAACGTAAAATGGCTACCGTAAAGAGTTTAAAAGCTGATGTTTCGAGCGTTAGCCCTTCGTTAGGGCGATTGGAAGAATTGTGGGTGGTGTGTGTTTACATGCAGGAAATGGAGCCACGCTATTAGTGGGAATATGGCGACGAGAAAACAAGATTAAATTAGTTGAATAAAAACCACTCGTTGATACCGTGGAGAGTAAGAGTATCGATTTGAAATACAATTTTTCTCTTGAGTTTTTGGCTTTTCCGAATTGCCTGGGTGTAGGGAAAGGCCGCAAACAGCCATATGTTGCTTAGATTGGTGAAGGAGATTTAAGTGTCTAGCGACTGGTTTGGATGCGCCCGTTTCATTTCTTTCTATGTCGGCGCGAAGGTGTTCTCAGAATCGGTCACCTAGTCGTCTTGCGAAAAGATAGTATCAGTCTCTGAATCATTTTGAGGTAATTTTAAGGTTTTTAAGAACGATAGACTTAACTGCGTGGTTGTGAGGGTGAAATGTGAAAGCCTCACACATTTAGCCTCACAACAATGCAGTTAAATCTCAAACCCCCTCAACCACATAACAAAGGCACAAACATGATTGGAGGACTTTTTATGCCTTGTGATAGAAAATATGCATCATAGTCCTTAATCCAAAGGGTTGATCAACTCCGAAAGGAAAAGAAATAAGGCATTATCATAACCAAGAGTCAAATGGCCCCGCGCACTTTTAATTGAGACGTGAAAAAGCTGCTTTGATCCCGATTTGGTTTTGTCTTTAGATTAAGACGGACCGAGCTGCACTCGATGGGCTTATGTGTTCCAGACACGTCAGCATTATTCTCCTTTCCATTAAACATTTATCATACTCATCATGTCTTAAATTTTCCAAGCGGTTAATTCACAGTTCAAAAATTAGAGCAAAGATTCAACGGCAAACACCACTAACGCGTATTGGAGTCTTGAATATATTTTGCTGGATAGCACTTGTATTTGTTTAGTTAAAAATAATAATAATAATAAAAGATGGACAGAATTTGTTTTGTCGGGATTTCTTTCTTATTGTTCGGGCTTTTGATTCATTAAGACGTTTGCCAGGCACGAAAGTCTTTTAAAACCCTTTTCGGAAAAGTAGACTCTCTAAACCAAAGTAGAAAATTGTCAGTTGGACAAATGATAATTTTTATTAGCCGATGTCTTACCTGAGCTTACGATGCACTTCTTTTCCAGCTTTCTCGGCTTACGTGAGCACTAAAAGAGATCTTTTGAACATTGGTTATTATATAGAATTGATACCTTTACCTCTTCAAACAAAAATTATCATCCGCCAGTGATAGCACTAAGAATTGTGTTCGTTATGACAGCAAATATATTTAATTAAAACGACTAAGATAATGTTGATCAAGAAAAGAGCAATGAGCAATTATTTTTTTCAATTACTAAGCTATTCAGCGTCATGTAATTTAAGATTACCGGCGCAATAAAGGAATCAACCAGGTATTGTCATTAAAATCAGAATCCCATTTGCAAACCATTTCCGAGACATGACAATTTTATGGCAAGTTGGTGAACTTGAGAATTCTGATTGTGACTCAAACCAACTTCTGAAATGATTACAACCTTGATGTTTTTTAGGGAAAGATTTCTCACGGTATCATATTCCAGAGATTACCTCTCGGCTTATCTTTTTCGAGTTTTAGAAATACTAATTTAAAACACTTAAGGTTGGTCAGGTATTTGTTTAAATTGATCTTTTTCGGGTGAAATGTCAAATTCTAAAATTCAGTCCTGTAGTCCTTTCCAAATCTAGTGTTATGACGGTGCTTGTCATTAATTTTCCATGACGTTTGTGTTTTTTTGACATTTTAGGAGAAGAAATAAAATAATAATAAATATTTTTTCTTCACTTTAATACAGATAATCGGTAGCTTATATAACCAAAGTAAATATTAGTTGTTTGGTCTGTTCCCGGCTGCACTATGGGAGGAAAAAGCTGCCTCATACTAGACTAAAAGTTCTTGCGAGACATTTTTTGGGCAAACTTCGTACGTTTGGAATAAACATCTTTCTTCGACGATTGTCTCAATTTCTTGCAGCTTCATCAAGCGAATGGTTCTCCGTGTATTTCGTAAACATGGGACATTTTTGGTGAATATTTCGCGGACCAAAATCA